CGCCTTCGCCGGCCGGGGCGGGGGGGGGGTTAGGAGGGGCAGGAGGAGGGGTCGGGCCTGAGCCAGGCGGCGCGACGCACCTCGTCTGTCGGCTCCAGCGGCGAGACCACCACCAAGCCCAGCCTGTCCTGCTGCGGCAGCTTGTAGCCCGCAACCACCATGCGCACCGGGAAGCGGCCGAGCGCCAGCTGGGAGATGGAGCCGTCCCAAGTCCACAGGACGTCGCCGCGCCGCACTGGCGCAGCCTCCAGAGCGAGCCGCGGCGCCATGTCGTGCGCGTGAGGCGAGCTGCGTGCCTCGGCGGTTGCACGCCTGTGCCCAGGTCCGAAACAGGGACCCGCTATGATAGCATGCGGTAACACGTGCACAAAAGGTGCAACGCGCTGTATCTGCAATAGAAAGATGGCGCAGATCGCGAAACACCCTGCCGGAACTGTGTATGGACGGGCTTGATCATTGTATTTACAGAATCCACGCGATCACGCGTTCATGTATGTGGCGTTGACACCGCACTGGGACCCGGTGTGCGCGCACACGGTGACTGCGTAACCGCAGTGACGCCCCTTCGCACATGCTGCACACCCCTGCGTGCGTGTAGAGTGCTGGAGGCGCTGCTGCATCTTGGGCTGCTGGATGTGTTACTATTTTTCATCCAATTGTCAAACACGCCTGCCAAATCACTTCAACAAGGCTGGTCAACCGATGTGCCGCAAACCGCCAACTTGATATGTGCTCCTGCGGCGTGGCTGGACAGCAGGGCAGACGGCTGGGCTCCAGGGGAATCCTGCCTTGAAATCGAGCCAGGCTGAATGCACCCATTTGCTTGTGTTGTCCTTCACGCATGGTTCTCGCATTACACACGCCCCCTTCACGGCTGTGGGGACATTACAGAGTAGGGGTATTGGTTGCCAACAGGTGGAGTGCGCAGGACAGAGCGACTGTATTGACGGAGGAAGAGTAGGTAAGACACCACCGCTCGTAGTAAGACACCATTACAGGGGAGCAGTGGCCGCAGCGCTGCCGTTTCTCTGCATTGGTCAACACATGCAGCGGGCTGGACAGGTCGACATGCCAGCCCCGCTCGCCACGTGAGTGTGATCACGTTGGCACGGCCCATGCTAATTGGGCGAACCAGGTGAATTGGCTGTCCATCTTGTCAAACTTTATGCAACCGCCACAAAATACGGGACGTGCGATTCATAATGCACGAAGCGCTACGGATGCGCGAAGCTCACAATCACGGATTACCACGTCAGCCGAAAAACCACTTGGCGCGCTTCATCATCTGTTTGATGGTGCCCTCTGCCCCCTTCAGCTCCTGCCCCGTCGCATCCAGCGTCCGCTGCGAGCGCTCAATAGTCTCGCGTTGGCGCTGCAGCTCTGACAAGATGCTCGCGCCAGTGGCCTGGGGATCAGGGCAGAAGCCAAGGGGCACCGAACCGTTGGTAATCGGCTGCCGCGGGCACAATGTGAACCAGGTCAGCCAAAATCAAAGGCAAAGTTGTGCTGTAACCAAGGTCACCGAGCCACAAGAGCATCAGCATCAGCAGCAACAGCAGCAGCAGCCGCATAGGCGGCGACAGCATTAAGAGAAGCGCAACAGCGCCGGCCACATGAACCCCGCTTGCCTCCGCCTGAGCCAGCTGCTGCCTGCCCTTTTGCAGCCGCTCCGACGTCTGCTGCAGCCTCTCGGTCGATGCCAACACGCGGTCCCGCTGCTGCCCCGATTGAGATGGCCCGCCGCGCGCACCGCTGTCCAGCCCCTGCGGAGGGGGCGCAGAGGTTTGAGGAGCGGCTCCCGCAACGCGTTTTCAAGGACGTGCCGCCGTCTCGCTGCTAACGGGTGCTGTAGGATGGACCTGGTGCGTCCGTGCGGCGTGTGTGCTTGGCTGTTGGACAGCAGACCTGCTTCCACTACAAAACTAGAAGTTTGTTCATAAGTGAACACGACTTGCTAGTGTCGATTTGCGCACCAGCTCTGATCGCGCCACTGCCGTGCCGTTTGGCACCTCGGCTGCCCGCCGCAACTGCTCCCGCATGGCGGCGATGCCTGACCTGCACGCCTCTACCCGCTCTGTGGGCCATGCGACAACGTCTCCTGGCAAGCTGCGCAACTCCATGACCATCCGCCTGAGCTGGCAGGCGATTGAGGGGTGGGGGCACGATGGAGATGGTGGGGTTGCAAGGCTTTGGAACAGCAGCATCAGGCATGGCACTGCCCATGCCGGCCCCGCGCTCACCAGGCTCTCTGCCTCACGTAGCCCTGCCTCAATCTGACCCATGTGCTTGCGGCGTGCGTCTGCTGCGATGCAGCAGCAGGGCGCTGCCGGCAGTCAGCCGCAGCGCGATGCACAGTAGCAATTGCTGCATGCATAATGCGGACGTTTGGTAACCCACCGCCACCCGCACTGCTTTCTAGACTGCTGAGCATACTACTGATATCATCAATCTTTTGGCTAATATCCCGGTCGTATTGGCGGAACAGGGCGATAGGATCTGACATGTTGCACAAGCTTCTCAACCGTATGATGAATATCGCAGCCAGAGCGTGAAGTTTCTCTGTTCGATATGCAATATATACATCAAGCGTTCAAGGCGACATGAAAGCGGTTGTGCTAATCACGTCTGGCGGGACACTTGCCACTGACCTGGTTGCGCAGCCTGAGCCAGGGTGAGCAGTCCACCCGCTGAGTCCACTAGCTGAGGGGTCATCAGCTGGCCCGCCGGCCCAGACAGGTACGCCATTGACAAAAGTGCCTCAAAATATGTAACCATATCAGGAATTTACCGTATGCCGTATATTTTGTGAGGGCGAGCATGAGGTGAGAGTGATGCAGCCAAGTCAACACTTGTTGCAAAACGGTGTCATTTGCAGCGGCTGAGGTAGAAACGGTCGTCATAGCTTGGGTTTCTGATGTCATTTAATCTATTGGTCGTTATGTCAAAGTGTTGCATATTGCTAGGACCAGCAGCAAAGCACTGCCCCTTTGTGGGTATTCATCCTTGGCAAGCAAGCGGGTACCCGTACACCCACGTTAGCCACATCAGCTCAGCGTGCACAAACATTCACCTGAGTTGCGCTCGCAAGCACAGTGACGCCGTTGATGTGAAGGAAAGGGAGGACAGCAAACCGCAATGAAGGGCAGTCACTACTAAAAATTTTCCCTTCACATTGTACCTCTGAACAGCAACAAAATTAGGAGAGGCCTCTCCAAGGCACAGGCATTCCGCAGGCTTCGCCGCCTGCAACAGCGGCCACTTGTTAATTGCTTTGATACGACCGTCTAGGCCATGGTGTGATTCGTCTGATAATGCTGATGGTTCTTAACGCGTCTGCACCTGCACGACTGATTGATTTGTTATCGCGTTTGCAGCAGCAAGACTCCGCAAGCGCTCCACCGACACAGCACAGCAAGTACCCACACACACACCGTCACCATTTACGCCCCTCCCTCCGAATCCGCCGGCGGCGCAGCTGATCACAAGACACGTTTTTTAGCTGTGTTAGAGTCGTCTGGACCAGCTGGACTCCAAGATTTGCACATTGCTTTGCTTTGTTTATACAATTGTCTAGGCCAGCTAGACTCCTCCCGCCACTGTGACCAACCGATTCAAAACAAGGGCTCACTGTGAACCCGCCGCCCAGTGCTGGCGGCAACAACAATTGTACGAACAGAACAGATCAACACTGAGGCCGGCATAAAGCGCCGTGCGTGAGGGTGCGAAGCACACCCCCAGGAGACACGCCTAGCCCTGGGCCCTGGGGCCTCTCCCTTGGGCCTCTCCAAGGCACAGGCGTGCTGCAGGTTTGGCCGCTGGTGGAAGCGGTAGCGGGGTTATAATAAACACAAACTGGCCGCCCAGTGCTGACGGCAACAAACATACGAAAACAAGCCAAAATAAAGCTGCAGACACACAAACTGAGCAATGAGGGCGCACTGCACACACGCAGGAGACATGCCTGGCCCTGGGGCCTCTCCAAGGCACAGGCGGGCCCCAGATTTTAACGCCTGCGGCGACGGTAGCGCGGTACCCCCCTGTGGCCCGGTTCGCGCTTTGCTTTGCTTTGCTTTGCTCTGTTACAATCGTCT